CTGAACTGTACCATAAATTTGTCCTATGGTGTGACATAGCAAAAATTAAGAAAAGAAACTGTCTTCATTGTTAGATGCTTATTTTCATATAGTGTTTTTTATTTCATATGAAATTGTAATTAACATCATTTTTTCCCCCATGACTTGTTGGACAATTTCGGGACAAACTTTGACAACAAGACAAACTTCGCTGTCATCCGTTCAAACCTGCTGAAAATTATACAGTTTTAAGATAAGTGATATTTATATCCCCCATTACAATACTCAACTGTTTTTTAAAAAATATTTTGAGATAAAAACTAATCTGTGGTTCTTTTATGTGTGTCACACACAACATAGGACATTACGTCACACTAAAGGACAGAAATGGAAGTTATTAAATTATTTCTATTTAATTTTGAACATGTCAAAAAAGTTTAAAAGTTTAATTTTGATACAAACAATATGTTGTTTTAAACAAAACAAAAAATTATTTTCATCAACAAAAGTCAGTCAATCAGTAAATATGATTGATATTCAAACTATATTCATTAAGATGTGAATGAATTTTTTAAAACTTTATGGCTACTCTTTTTAAGGCATCATTTTGATTCTATTTACTTTCTGCATCGTTCTCTTAGGATCTCCTCCCTTCTGGTGGATCCCTGTTCATTTTCTGTCTATATTTCCATGTCCTTTCTCTTCCAGTAATTTCTCTCCCTCAATTCTTTCAGTTTCATAAACAAATGAGCACATTTTATACTTATTTTCATGACACTTTATAACAGTACAAGTTTTCTGCAAAAACATCAGAAAATTGTGTATTTAATGTAATTATTGCATTTAAGAACACTGAAAATGATCAAAAAAAGAATAAAAAGGAGTTAACTAAATCTTATTTAATTATTTAAAATGCTTTTTAAAGAGACCTTGTCCTGTGGTGTGACATCTTTGTCCTATGGTGTGACAGTACAGGCGTCACACCGGAGGACATTTTCTGTCACACCACAGGACGTTTCAGCCTTTTCCTGTCAATTAATGACCTTGCTATTCTGAGTTAACATGTCATTAGCGGTTAGCAAGACACATTTGCATAATTTTCCATGATTATGTAATTTAACATGCAGTTTTTAATTAAAAAATATAATTTAAGGGTGTCACACCAATGGACAACAAAACGTAACACTTTTGTAGTGGTTCAATTCTGAGACAGAAATTGACCATGTGCACATGTCATGGGCTTCACAGGGGGCTTCAGTAACATAATCATGAATGGGGTCCTTCAACTAATGTAATTTTGTTCTGGAATTGGCCAATTTAAAATCAGGATATGGTGTCACACCATAGGACATGGTTTTCAGAGACAAAATATATCAAGTTCCTACGCTTTCAGAAATATATGGATAAAAAAAATGATTGCCATTTACTAAAATAGACACTTGTACAATTGTGCCGGAGGTATTTATTAACATTTTGATGTTTTTTTATTTATTTATAAAACTTGTAATCTACTGAACCATGCTTGAGACAGTCACACCATAGGACAATTTTGAGATTTGGCTCAAAAATGTAAAAAAATATCGAATAACACTGCAGCTTTTATAACAACAGGTCCATGTAGGGCAAAGAATTGTTTAATGATTTACTGCATTTTAAATAACGACAATATTAATTTTTATCTTGTGGGACAGTGAAAATGCCATGTCACGTCAACAACCCATATGCACATACCAACTTGCAGGTTTCCAGGTGCTTCTTTAAACCATCCACTGTCTTTCTTCCAACACTTTTGCATTTTGGGCAGCTTACTCTACCCTTTGCCAAGATCTGAAGCTGCCATTTTTCCTCCTGACTTCCTGTAAAGAACCACAAATGAATACTTAAAAAATGTGTCTGTGCTGTTTTCATTTGGTCTGCATGACTGTATCATTTACCTGGTGGATAAACAGGTGACTCCTTCTTGGTGTGCTGAGATGATTTCTGCTCCTGCATGCTGTGACTGTCAGTTATCCGATTCCTCTGACTGAACTGAGCAACAGGAACTATAACAGGTACTGTTAAAGGAAAAAGATGTAGTCTATACTTTTCATGTTTTATCATGCGGATTATTAAAGAAAAATATAAGAATTGCATACCTGTTTGCTTTACTTCCTCAATGCACTTTTTTAAGGAGGGCTGGTCAGTTTTCTCCATCTTCTGCTTCTTCTTCAATTTAAAATCTGTGGCATAAAACGTGTGCAACTTTTGGACATAATCTAAAATGTCATATATCAATTTATTCTACTTAAATATACTTAAGTCTGTACTTACCTGTCTCTATTAAAGTGTCTGAACTGGATCCATCAGTTTTCCCCATCACTACGCTGGTGTGGTCAGTGAGCATGTGATGGCTTTCCAAACCACTAACTGTGATAACTGAACTGCAAGATGACCCATGATCGAAATCCTCTGTTGGTCTCATAATCACAGGCTGGAGGTCATGGTACCTTAAGAAGTGTGCTAATGTTACGTTAATATTTTGACACCATTATTAATCTAGTATATGGTGCAATAAGTTACTATTTAAGAGGCAAACCTTATGAAAAGATTCTGAGAACAGACTAAAGCAGTATTTAAGATTTATTAAATGAAATTGACATTTTACAGGGAAACACAAAACTCACTTTTTTCTGGTGTAAGTTCTCTTTATTTTCTGAGAGCTTGTCCCCTCATTCTGAAATGCAATAACACAAATGCAATAATAAAATCTTATGATATCATGTTTAATTTCATTAATTAACTGCCTAAATATATATCTTATCCGCTGGCATATTGATGCATAACTCAAGTTGAGGATGCTTGGTCTTACTTTGGATGGTTTCGTTCCACTACCTTCAGCCTCTCTTCCCAAATCTTTTATGACATCTGTTGAAATTGCAATCAATTTTTTTGAATAATTTCTAATAGATTAAAAAAAAAATATATATATATATATATAAATGTAACAGCTCTAAAATAGATCATAATTCTACACCAGCCCTCTAATGTAAATGTAATTCATTTCATACTTAACCATGATCTGGGAATGCAACAACTTCAGAATAAGCCATATAGGACTTACCGATTTAGTAAATCTTTCATTAATACATAATTACCTGGTGTTTGGGGGTTTAGTTTTGGTTTTGACATTTTCCTCCTGCTTGGTACACATGTAGCAGACATGTTATAATGGGTCTGATCCATGATCCTATTCAACAAAAATCAGTGATAGATACAGAAGCATGCATAGAGATCCACTACTACTATCTATATTACGTGATTATTTTATCATAATCAAAAACAAATATATAAGTCACATATAGGTAAGCTCCTGTGTGGAATTTCAGTATTTCATTAATCCAATGTCCCTCAAGCTGATACTAAGAGTGTTGCACTAAGACTACGAATTTGAAAAAGAAACCACATTTGAATGCATGGACTAACCCTGCATTTAAACACTGAAGCTGCATGCAGCCCTACATGCACCTGTATTGCAGTGCATAGTCTTCAAGAGCACTGCCACCATCACTGCCCACTAATACTCCCAGCCAAAAAATAAATAAGGCATGACGGCACTACGTCAAACAAACCCTCTGCGGATGTATCCGACCGTCAAACAATCCGTATGACATCGACATACCCTAAACATTAAATTTAGAAAGGCATATTCAACACTCAACGTTCACAAAACAACCAAGCCTCGCTATAACATTACCGTCCTTTCGGCGAGCTCACTTCATACATAATACGCCCCCATTTCTCGCCAGCCAATGAGAAATCGCTCTTCCCACAACATACCAAAAGGGGCGGGTCTTGACGCCTCAACAACCTATCGCTGGTGACTGCAGGTCCTAGATCAGATTTTGACACGCCTCTGTTGTTACACCTTGCTGCGGTTGATGCGCCTTAACTGAACTGGGGTCAGTCTGTATACAGAATTTAACCAATTTAGTTCGATCCACATCAATTTTCGGTTTCAAATCAATACACTAGAAATGAGCAGCGCAAGGTCTTCTTGGTTTCCCAGTGGACTAATGTGGATTAATTCAAACACATGAAGGTCCACCAAGGAAAAGGTACAATTAACAGACGTTTAATATCTTTTATTTACCAGTTAATATTAATAATACAAAGCACACTACTGTTGCTTCAAATATTATGGGTATGTGCTGGCAAGGAAGTCTATATAAAAGGGTGCTTGTGTCAGGGTTAAAATATAACTACCATCTTTATTTCCAAACTTTCAAGAAGGGAAGAGCTCTCCGACAAATCAATGCAATCTCTCAGTCTTCTGTCTTGGATGGTATGTAGGCTATGTTATCTGATAATGTTTATAATGCCATTTATCTATCACAAATGTAAAAAAAATTAATGTATTAAACTAAGCTCTTGCAGTGTGACATGCTACATTGTGCACCTGTTTCTAGATGTAGGAATTGATGATGCTCAAGTCCTTACTTTGACCAGAGAAGATCTGAATGAGCTTTTTCCAGGTATTAAGAACTTCCAGCTCAGAAGGACCATTGTGGTGCTTATCACGGACACAGTGAAGGTAATGTATTTGGTCAAGATGCTGGTGGAATTGAACTTAAGTGGCCCTCCAAAAATATTTGCACACTGAAGTTACTCCTAAAAGTTTAGGATAGGGGTCACCAAACTCGGTCCTGGAGGGCTGGTGTCCTGCAGAGTTTAGCTCCCTAATTAAACACACCTGAACCAGCTAATCAAGGTCTTACTAGGTCAGGGATCCTCAAATCTGGCCCACGAGATCCACTTTCCTGCAGAGTTTAGCTCTAACCCTAATCAAACACACCTGAGCATGCTAATCAATGTCTTGGGGATCATTAGAAAATCACAGGTAGGTGAGTTTGATCAGGGTTGGAGCTAATCTCTGCAGCGCATTGGCCCTCCAGGGCAAGATTTGAGGAACCCTGTACTAGGTATACTTCCAGGCAGGTGTGAGGCAAGTTGGAGCTAAACTCTGCAGGACACAGCCCTCCAGGACCGAGTTTGATGACCCCTGGGAGTTTCGTGGTATTAGATATCAGTGGCATTATTATTTTTTTTAACAATGACTTCTAACCAACAAGTACCAAACTATATTTTGGATGCATGTTTTAGGCCATTTGCTCCAAACTGAAGTTCAAACGGGTGTAGTTCATCACTTGTGGAACATGTTCCACTAACATGACAACCAGAAGATGTGCAAATATTGAATATGAATATACTTCAATATTAATATAATATTAATTGTGACTTTTTGGGGTAATTTTATATATTTAACAGTAAAATGTTACAGAAACCAAATACAATGTAAACTGAGTAAATTGCATGCATATGTGCATGCTCCATAAATTGTATTTGTTTATATAATAGATAGAGTATTCATCTGTAATTATTCATTATTTGATTCTTAAAAGGATTCGCTTAGACCTGGCCTAGAAACATTTGCCGGTGCACTGAAGCATTTAATGCACAAAAACAAAAGCAGTGAGTTACTTATGACTTACAAATCTACCATTTTCAGTTGTAGCAGAGAACCAAGTAATATAATATTAATTGTGACTTTTTGGGGTAATTTTATATATTTAACAGTAAAATGTTACAGAAACCAAATACAATGTAAACTGAGTAAATTGCATGCATATGTGCATGCTCCATAAATTGTATTTGTTTATATAATAGATAGAGTATTCATCTGTAATTATTCATTATTTGATTCTTAAAAGGATTCGCTTAGACCTGGCCTAGAAACATTTGCCGGTGCACTGAAGCATTTAATGCACAAAAGCAGTGAGTTACTTATGACTTACAAATCTACCATTTTCAGTTGTAGCAGAGAACCAAAGGAGTTCTCTTTGTAAAAGGCATGCTTCATAGTAGTCTTACGACTTTTTCCTAGATGATGCCGCTGTACAGGATGTTTTGAAGGAATCCCTTCGAGCTTTTAGATTAGTGGAGGATCAGCTCAAAACAGCACAGGCATCTTTGAAACCGTACATTGAGGTCTTGAACAGTTTCACTGAGGCATCAGCTAGACAAGAGGACTGGGATACAGAGGGAACGTCAAGCAGGAGAAAATTTCCAAGCTCATTCCAAAAAGATATGACCTCTCCAACCATAGACTACTTTTGGTGAGTAAGAGTTAGAGTACATGCCCTTTCATCCAAGGGCTCAAAACCACATTTTTTCAAATTTAACTTTGTTGTTTTTTGAATAAGAGATTAGAAAAATGTATTTTTGCATTATTACAGTGGAGTCCTGAAATTAGAAAGCACTAGTGAAAGTGTTTCCATTTAGCATTTTTCTAAAATAAGTTTTTATTACAAACATAACAATTGGAGTAAAAAGTTGAATTGAAAAACCTTAAATATTTCAATTAATAATTAAACTCATGGCATAACTCAAGGTTAAAATAAAATTAAAAATCAATGTGGTCTCACAATTTTGGGCCCCCACTTTTCATACACGCCCTTTTTTTTTTTTTTTTTTGCAGAGCCTTCAGTTAGAGTGCTTCCACTTGTGTGCGGTCAAACCTTGGGAACTGACAGGCACATTCTTGCACAACTTAAGGGAGTTCGAGAAAGTGAATTACGGGACTGTCAGTTGATACTGGTCTTCTGTCCTGTGGTCTCACGAGCTGGAACTGACATTGAAGAAGCACTGAAGAAAATTTCAGGTAATTATAAATTAAAACAATGTTCAACTAGTTTTCACATCTTAATATTGTATTTTAGAGGAAAGTAGCTAATTTTTGTTAAGGTTAACATTGAACATTGTGGAACATGTTAATGTGCTCTTCCATGACTCGTACCATGGTCTTCTTGTGTGTCCAGCAAATAATAATGCAATGATCAAACTTCAGTCTGTCTTAAACCGGTACAAGTAAACAGGCCTAGCATCAAATGCTTTAACTGTCAAACGCTGAAAATGACAATTCAATGTATTTGTTATATGGTCATATAAGTGGACAAAAATAACAAGCCTGCTAATAAACATTTAAGACTGGTGTGTTGATTCCAAAAATTTAATATATTCAGATAATTTTATCACTTTTTTTTTAGTAAGAAAGCCAATAGCAGGAACATTAGAAAAACACCTTTTTCATCAATGCTCTGATATCAAACCATAATGCTTTCACGTTCTCACCTTCATGTAGACACATTTAAATTCATGTACATCTCACAGATCAGAGACGTGATATTATTAAGATCCTAGCTTTTTAAAATGGATTATGACTAAGTAGTTGTGGTAGTTTTACAAGCTAGCTTGTAGCCAACCTACACTGATAACACGTAAGTGACTGTAGCAGGTACATCAAAACCTGCACTGATTACCGAGCTTTTCTTTCAGGAACTTCCCTTTATCATACTTTAGCCAATATTGTGCACAATATTCACAAACCGAAATAAGAAAAATAAACATTAATGCTTTCTCAAACAGTTAATATACTGATTTAGTGAGACGGTCCTCACAAGCGTAGTCCGGCAACCTGGAAAAAACTGTTGGCTTGGTTATGAAATGTTCTACAGCCAATCGCCACGCCTGATGAGTAACCAACTTTCCCCCGTTATAGGAATTTCCATAGGCATACAGATACATTCGTTTGAATAGCATTCTTTGCACCACACGACCATGGATAATCATGGACATGATTTCCCATTAACACACTCAAAAGGGAAAACAAAAGCCAAAAACATGTATGACGGTATGGTTGAGACAATTGAGACAAAAGTGCCGTTCGTTTACATTTGAGTGACTGGCCAGAGCATTTTGTGCTTATCCAAGTTTCTCTTGTTTAAAAAGCCCTGTGTCACTGGCTTGGACCTTTCTTCTTATTGCTCCAGTAATTGCTGTAGGCCTCTCTAAACATGTTATTGCAGCATAGCTTAGCATTCAGGCGGGAGCAGATGAGGAAGGAGCCACCCATTTTGCGGTGCAGGGAGTAGGTTTCTTCGGGTGGAGGGATGAGGCGCTGTTTCAGCATGACGGGTATGAGGTTGTGGATGCGCTCCGTGGTGCTCTGCAATCCAAAGTCAAATGGCTCTTTGGCGGCAAAAGCCTCACCCAGGATCATCACCGCATCCACGTGGGCGTTCACCATGGCCTGAATGAGGAGAAGAGGTTGTGTTAACATGACTGTCGTATGTGTAGCTTAAAACAAAAATATCTGGTATATACACTACCTTAGACTCGTAACCAGTCAAGAACTTCATATCTATGGATCGCTTCAGCACTCCTTCCCGATCGTTATCTGCTGCAGCCTTGATGATCTGGAAGATGCAATCAGTTAAAGAAATAAAATAGCCATTTAAATGTTTACTTCCAATTTTATATGTCTTACCTCAATATAAACATCAGTGAAACTCTCATCAAACCCTCTTGTTGCACCAAAGTCCAGCAAAGCAACCTGTGGATTGAAGAACAGCTTGATTATTAAAACAAACAAAAAAAACACACCTAAGAGATGAAGCCAAAACAATATACTTACTTTTGATTTACTGTACAAAATACTCAAACTCAATAAATAAAATAAATATATACTGTACATACACTATGGTTCAAAAGTTTATGGTTGGTAGGATGTTAATATAAATGTTACATTTATATGATAAAATGTTGTATGGTATAAATGTAAAGTTTTTTTTTTTTTTTTAATCAAAGGTAACAGTAATATTGTGAAATACTATCATTTAAAATATCTGCTTTGTATTAAAATATGTAATTTATTCGTGATGGCAATGATGAATTTTCTGTAGTCATTACTCCAGTCTTTAGTATCACATGATCCTTCAGAAATCATTCTAATATGCCGATTTATTGTTCAAAAATCATTTCATATTGTAATTATTATATTGCTGCGTAATATTTTTGTGGAAATTGATTACAATTTTTTTTTTAGAGGAATAGGAAGTTCAAAAGAACAGCATTTATTTGAAACAGAAATATTTTGGAATATCATAAATGTCTTAACTGTCAATTCTGATCAATTTAATGCATACTTGCTGAAAGTATTTCAATAAAAGTATTAATTTCTTTGAAAAATTCTTACTGGCCCCAAACTTTTGATCAGTAGTGTATTTACCTACAACACCAATCAAAATATATATATATATATATATATATATATATATATATGTATGTTAGCAGCACACTTCTGCATTGCAAAGTAATTTTCTTCCTCAATATTTTTTGAAATTCTTAAATCAATGTATGGTATATTTTCTTGAGACACAAAATGGCTTTATTAAAAGAAAGTTTTCTTTTCTGAGAAATTATCAAATTTATTCCCTAAAATAAGAAAAAAGTACCAATGGGCTAGGAAAACTAAACTTCATTCAAAGGGAAAGCAAGTTTCTCTCTAATAGCAGATTTTTATTTTTTTGTTTTAAACATAAAACAAATTTAAGATAAATTTCTTCAAAAATATTATTTTTGCATCTCAAATAAATGTATACTGATTTAAGAACACTTGTGTGTGAATGAGAACTTAGTTTAGTACTCACATGCTGTGATAGCCGCTTTCTGTCCGTGTGTGCTCAGAAAACCATGTATCAGAAGTTTAAACTCAAATGATTTAAAACGCATGATTTCAGTGCGATAAACATGCTAATCAGACCCAAAACAGATATTTTTAGCAGGTACGAGCTGTAATGGCACAGCTCTATTCTGGAAAAGGGGGTGGGGAGCAGCAACTCATTTGCATTTAAAGAAACTGGCCCAAAAAACAGCGGTTTCTGCTTCCACTCAAAATAGGCATTTTTCAAAATGTTATAATAAATGATCTTTGGAGTATTTTGAGCTGAAACTTCACATATTCTGACACATTCTGGGGACACCAGAGTCTTATATTACATATTATAAAAATGGGCATAATATGTCTCCTTTAAATACATGTTTAATATACTTACAAATGTGATTTATATGGTACATATGATGCATGTATAAACATGGTCAAAATCACTGTAAAGAATGGCCTCTCAGGGCCATGTTACGAGCAAAGGTTCGCTGATAGGTGAGCAGGTGTCCCTGTGAGTAGCTGTTGTTTAGGACACATTAGTGTTTACACAACAAACGTGATGTGGTCAAATGCTTTCCTGACCTTTGAATGTGGTTTGAATGATTGGATCACTTTGCATTTAATGCTGCCCACTTATGATTGGATCACTCAAGGCAGATGATGCTGATTCCAAGTATAACGGGGGCCTGTTTTTTCTGCTTCACATAAAGTTCTTATATAAAAAGAGTGTTTGCAAATGCCCAACAATACAAAATGGTCTTGCATTTCATCTTGCTTATTCCTTAATAAATCTGTTGTCATATTGCATGTTTACTGGGCTGCAGTGCACAGTCAATCCAAACATGTAAACAGGATTTTAGAGATGGTCTCAAGTCTTAAGGAGCCAGAGAGAGAGAGAGAGCCAGAGAGAGAGAGAGCCAGAGAGAGCCAGAGAGAGAGAGAGAGAGAGAGAGCTAAACAACAACTTGCTTGATCCAATCCCAGTGAAATGCAGAACTGCTAGAGCAGGGGTGCCCAACCCTGCTCCTGGCGATCGACTGTCCTGCAAAGTTTAGCTCCAACTCTAATCAAACACACCTGCCTTTAATTTTTAAGTGATCCTGAAGACCTTAATTAGTTGCTTCAGGTGTGTTTGATTAGGGTTGGAGCTGAACTTTGCAGGATAGTCGATCGCCAGGAGCAGGGTTGGGCACCCCTGTGCTAGAGTGTTGAAGGCTTCTAGTATCGAAGATTTTCAATTTGACTGCATCTATGTACATCAAAAGTGACTATTAAAAAAAAAGCTTATTTTTAACAGTTGCCATGGTTTTTATCCCGGTTCACTTCTTTGACCTAGATTAGTCAGATGACCTCACATTTTCTCAGCTGATACGGTTGCTGAGGAATGTGGGCTACTAAAACCCTATTCAGACGGGACTAGTTTTCCTGAAGGAGGTTCGAGAAATCAAGTGTCAATAAATCATATGTTTCATAACCAACATTAGAACAACACTTCAGTTTGGACATTGTGCTGTCCTTTCAAAACTTCCTGAGGAGTAGCATATAGGTCACGTTTCTGGCATAGCTGTGGGCTTATTTTGAGCCTTGCCGATGCCAGCGCTGTCGCTGTCTTTCACTGCCAGTCGTAGGGATCTGCAGCTTACAAAATACTGCCTATCTTAATGAGAATGATGCGGTGCATGAGTCCAGTGCATGAGCAGTGGCCGTGGTTTGGAAATGTCATGCAGGGAGGCCGTGCTACAATAGTAGCTGCATTCTTGATCAGGTGACACAGATACAGATGCTTTTGTTCTCACTTTCCAATACACACTAATGCACACAGAGCGGGGGAAAATGACCTCACATGCCTACCAGAAATAATCAACATATTTGCACAGAAAAGAGAGCCATTTTTGTCACAGAAGAAGTCAGACAATGTTTGAGTTGCTGGTCAATGCAGATAGAAGGATTCAAAGACGTGAGGCAACAACAGGCAACTTTTCAAGAGTTATGAACTGGAAAGCAAATCGTCTCTGTTATCTATGTTATTTACAGTACAGTTCGACTAGTTAGAAGATAGTGTAACCCTTTTGATAAAAAGATCTTTAGGATCACGAGAACAAACTAATTCAAGTGTGTCCAGACTGGTAGTGTTTGAGGACCCTAAACAGTCAGCAAGCAGAAAAGTTAGCATCCATTTTCCACCACTGAGTGGAAAATAACGCAGGAAGAACACATGAGGTTACTTTAGACATTTGCATATCAGAGAGGAAATAAATTGCCTCTCCAATTTCTCTGCACCTTTCTGTAAGAGGATTACAGTCACTCATATCATCAGGCTGTAAACCCGAAACAGGCCTCGATCACGTACCAGTCTAACTTGAGAGCGGCCATGACTTACAACCATCCCAACACTGGAAGCAGCCATGGGTTTTGAATTCTATCAGTCATGGAGGACGCCTCAATGGCCCTAATAAATCCTTGAGGAGTGACCTGGTCTAATGTGGTGACTTGTTATATACAGTACAAACAGCATTCTCTTACCCTGTATACTGAGCATTTGGCCGAGCTTGAGGGCCGCGCCACGCACTTTACACAAAGTCCTGACGATACGCTCTGCATTGGCCTCCGAAAGGAAGGGGCTGTTGTCCAAAACGGCCTTCTTTTCACCTATGTGAAATGACAAGAATCTGTCAACAATTTGGACTGAATATACAACTTAAAGGAATAGTTCACCCAAAAATGTAAATTTCCTGACTGTCAGGCCATCCAAGATGTAGATGAGTTTGTTGTTTCATCGGAACAGATTTGAAGAAATTTAGCATTACATCACTTGCTCATCAATGGATCCCCTGTAGTGAATGGGTGCCATCAGAATGAAAGTTCAAACAGTTGGTTTATTAAAAAATAAATTATAAATCACAATCCACACAACTTCAGTCAATTAATGAAGCAAAAAGCTGTATGTTTATGAGAAACAAATCTATCATTAACATGTTTTAACTTTAAATCCACCAACATATTTGTTTAGAACTTACTTGGATTTTAACTTATAAATGGTGCTTGATCTGTGCATATTTCTCTCCTTATTTAGATGAGATAACATTTTTATTGGAGAAAGTATTATGGATAGAAGGCTCATATTTTTAGCCCCAAAGCAATGGTTTGAATTTAAAAACATCTTGAAGAATTTGTGTATTATAAACATGCAGGACTGGATTCATGTGGATTACTTTTGGATTATTATGATGCTTTTATCAGCTGTTTAGACTCTCCTTCTGACGGCACCCATTCACTGCAGAGAATTCATTGGTGAGCAAGTGATGTAATGCTAAATCTCTCAAAATCTGCTCGGATGAAGAAAAACTCATCTACATCTTGGATGGCCTGAGGGAGAGTATAATTTCAGCAAATGTATATTATTGGATTAATTATTCCTTTAAAAAACAAAAATATTCAACACAGTAATGCCTAATGGGACAAATGGATCCGTGTTTTTTATACAGATGTTCAAAAATCTCAGACAACCACTGTATGTGCTATTTGAAACAAAAAAGAGAGTCTGTGTTGCTGAGAACCATTTGTCCATGTAAACAAAACCCCACAAACTACTGGATCGGGGTCTTCATTATTTTTGTGAGGACATTAGTGCTATTCCTGGATGTGATGATGAGGTCAAAGGTAATCATTATCCTGCACGTCGGGTGTCTACATAGATAAGATCTAGTTACAGGCCGCTGTATTCAGAACACATTTACACTCAAGAGTTCCGATATGCAGTCAGACTGACATAATGCAAGCTAAACCATGAAATATCTGCAAATGACCAGTTTAACAGGAATCTAGTATTCTTTTAATGTGCTGAACAAAGCTTTGAGCATTTAGAGTTTTTAGCATTTTTCAATGACACTTTTCAAATAATTAAAAAGTTTTTAACCCAATATTCAAAATTAAAGTAATTTTGAGAATTGGTTACTGGGGAAAAAATAAAAAAAAAATAAAAAAATAAACATAGATAAGATCTAGTTACAGGCCGCTGTATTCAGAACACATTTACACTCAAGAGTTCCGATATGCAGTCAGACTGACATAATGCAAGCTAAACCATGAAATATCTGCAAATGACCAGTTTAACAGGAATCTAGTATTCTCTTAATGTGCTGAACAAAGCTTCGAGCATTTAGAGTTTTTAGCATTTTTCAATGACACTTTTCAAATAATTAAAAAGTTTTTAACCCAATATTCAAAATTAAAGTAATTTTGAGAATTGGTTACTGGGGGAAAAAAAATAAAAAAATAAATAAATAAAAAAACTTACCTAATCTGAAAATTGAGAACATGTTATTACAGCCCTGAAGTCAAAGACTATGTCTTTTTAACAAAAAACAAAACAAAATATAACATTCACAAGTAAAACATACTGCATTTAAAGACAACCCTAAATACTAAAAATAAATTAAGCATTAAAACATTTTTTTTATAAAAAGGGACACCAAATAAATTAAATCATATTAAATTAGTTTGCATTCAGAATTCTGCATTAAAGCTTAATAACTCACCTCTGCAAAGTAAAATAAAAGAACAAAATAAAATATGTTTGAGTTTATAATCTTTAATTAAAATTTTATGACATTCTAAACCTTCACGACAAAGGCATGCAGCAAATGCGGTTTCACGTTGCCTTTAAACATGCCAAAACAACAGTGGCAGTGTATATGTCCGACTAAAGCTCTTTCTGTTCCATAAGAAGATTTGAAGTTGAGCTGAGAGATCCTGGATGATGGGAGGGGTGCACATATTTGCATGCACAAGCGGTGAACGAGGTGAAACATTTCAAGAATGAAGGACAAACTTTTACATTTCAATAATGTATTGGCATTTTTCATTCCAATTACACAGATGCATATAAATATTTTAACGGCTCATTTCTACATTAAAACGGCCTCTCAGCCTTGACAGCAGCCTAATTTAAGTGCACTTTAGACCAGGACACACTGTAAATGTTACTGTGTGTATATTATTATACATACAGTCCAATTTAAGCAAACATTGTTTGGTGCACCAAGCAATGGTGCTCTCCTGTCTAAGAGTAAATAATACTGTACACACTCTAGATTTTCAGTACTGCTTGTACTGAAAAAAAAGTAAAGATCTTTTCACTGCTATAAAGGATGCACACTGGTTAAGATAAGGGTTGCTGTGGGTTCTGGTAGGTAGTGCACATGTGTTTATCATAAATACCCACAATTCTTTCCTGTCTCCTCACTCACTATCTCTCTGTTAATGAAATGGTTTAAAGTCCAAAAAGAAAACAAACAAAAAACTCTAATAGCATGCAATTTATCACTTGTAATCACACTATGCCAGATAACATCTCAATAATCAATAAAATGTTCTAATGAACGTTTTGCTGTTCTAAGAGCAAAACACAAAAGTGATATTTCATTCACTGACGTGCTTCACTCAGCAGTGCTAAACCTGGCAGTGCATATACTTTAATGGGTCACACTGTCTCTCCAGGTGCTATCATGAGAACCAGACTAAAAATAAAAACCTAATAACAATACATTGTAATGATCCTAATTGTAACCGTACAGTTCAATTCTAGTAGTTAATGCAATTGTCTTACCATTCTTCTCCTCTGATCTCAGGCTTTTCTTTGCCACTTCTGCCAAAGCTCCAATACCCAAACCCACAGCAAGACCTGCAAGAGATTAAAAAAACAGAAAGTAAATGGTCCATAAATGTACAGAAGTTAAATACTGAAACAGTCATTGTCACACCTAAAATCAGCACCATGTAAACAAAACTTTTTAAAAAATTAGCTGTATCAATTAGACTGATTTGTGAAAAATACCCACTACAACACTGGAGCTGTATAATGTCAACTTGACAAAAGGAAACACCAAAATAGCATTTCCAAACCACTGTGATCAGCACACATTTGCTGTGGCAGAGCTGAGAATCAATAACAAGTTTTGGTGCAATCTTCAGTAGTTATGTAATTTTGTAATTATACAACACTTCTGCTTTTGAGAAATTTGGGAGGGGCTTCAAGTCAGTTGTAAATCAAGCAGTGAAACTAAACCTCAGTGTAAACCTGCAAAAAATGGGGCCGACATGTTTTCACCCTGGTGTTTTTTTCAAGAAGTATTAACACGCTTTACAGAAACACATGTAGTTTTGATGCTGACTCTTATCCCGTTAACGTTTTTCATTAAAACTGCTGAGGAAGTTCTAGGTCAGTTGTGGTTGATGATTAAACAGGTTCCTGTTTTTATGTCTCTTTATGGCTGCAGGAGTTTAAGCACTACAGGAAAGCACAAGGACCATGCCAGGGTTCTCAACAACTGCAACGTCTGAAGCACTGTACTGCATTTTCTCTTTTTAAAGATAACATTTGCATTCCATTGTGCATGCATATACTAATCAACATATTTGCGCAATCCAGGAAGTAAAAGTTCCAATCAAAAATAAGTATAGGATAAAAAAAAAAGTTCAGTGCGATATTTTTTGAAAGATGAAATTAATAGATTTATTCAGGAATAATACAATACAAGTTTATTTGTATAGCACATTTAAAAACAACTGGTGTTGACCAAAGTGCTTTACAAGGCTAAAAGAAACAAACAATAATGACACAAAGCATTTAAGCACTAGAGAAACAATAAAATTATAAAAATAAATAAAAGCCTAAAAAAAAAACAAATATATATATATATATATATATATATATATATATATATATATATACAATATATATACATATACAT